AACTGTACTCACTTTTTGTTGTATCGCCTTTTTAAAATGGAAAGGGTAAACAGTCCTGGAACCGTAAGACTTTTCTCGTAGTTCTTATTTTTAGTCTTCTGATCTTGAATAATTCTCTGGGTGAGCAGGGAATATATTTTCTGACAATCTTGGCCTGTCAGTCATATTTGGTTGAAGTCTTCCAGGATACTTGTCAAACGTGTGATAGGGGAAGATAAAATAGCATAACATACAAATGTCATTATCACAATCCTTAACATTGCATGTGTCACATTGCACAAGGGATGGTTTGAGTGGTTTAAAGAGGTGTTGGACCTGAGCAGCAGACCCCTAAATAAAAGCCCCCCCTTAAGATACAAGTGTCAGTTTAGCTGAACGTTGTTCAGTACCTGAACTGAAATTGAAACTTATCCATTCCTGAAGCAGTGAAAATGTTCTTATTATAGTATACACATTTTACAGAGTAAACAGATCAAATCTTTAAGATGCCTTTTTTTAGGTGTCTAGAATTGTCTAGAAAAGTCACTGCTGCTCCCATCCAAGGAGTGAATACCTTTGCTTCATGTATAAAGACAGTCGAACGAGACAATAACTGAAATTTTCCAGCATTCTTAAGTTGCTTTCAGTTAAAAATGGAAGTGTGAGTCCATTAAATGTTATTTAAACTGGAGCACATACATCAGAGACTACATTGTGATAGATTTTAAAGTCGGCCATTGATCTATATTCACATCCTCCACTATTGATTTAATCCCAAATAGTTCTTAATGTGAAGCGGGTTATTCACGGCTATGATGGGTGCATTACCATATCTACATAGATTAAATATTCTATTTTGAACCACAGCAACCTCTATGTTATGCGTATAAACCTTTCAAGTGGTGTGTTTTCAGCCCAGAACGGAGCCTTGCATCTGTCTTCACAGGAGAAAGCAAATAGATTCCATTTCAGGCGTGTCACACAATTGTCTAACTGTAGTAATTGCAAATACATTGTAAGGAGTTCAAACTGTAACACACACAGGGGGAAGGCTGTGCGGGAAACTGTGTGTTCTTCAGTCGCTGTCACAGCTTGGGCATCAGGTTTGGAAGGAAAGAACAGTCAAGAAAGACGGTAAAATACTGTTGTTTTACTGTAAAAAAAAAAAAATGCAGCTTCTTTGTGTAAAAGAGTTTGCCAACAGTTTGCATTCTTTTCATTCATTATGAATCAAACATGTTTCAATTACTGAGGCCATAAATGTGCCCATTAAATGAAAGTGCAGTCAAATCAGGAGGAGATGAAATGGTGTAACAGAGAAAAAGAAGCAGATAAAAGACAACGTCTAAAATACCAAACAGGCAGAAATACAAAAGGAGCAGAAAGATATTTCATCAGTCAGATCAGCTAAGGAAAAACATTCCTTCCTATTTGCATTGCGCGAGGCAGATGGTGTCGGGAGCTCATATAATCACCAGAGAGTTAATAAAACAAACGTGAACTCCACTCAGTGAGTTACTGACTGAGATGATTACCGCCGACGCATCGCAGTAACTCCGCACTGTGGTCACCCACACCTCCAGCTAAATACCAAATGCGAAAGTCCCTCAACATTCAGCGGCTCTAGAAGAAGCCTTGTTGTGAAAAAAGAAGTCTGAATGGATACAGTATGAGAAATTGCCCTTACTCGTTTGCTTCGGCTGACTGATTTTTCCCTCCAACACGGCGCTGCAGTCCTTACACATGCATCCGTCATCTTCTCACCTTGGGCCTTTTGTTCATGCTATATCTCAGTGTCTTTTGGATTGTGGTCTGCATAGATATGCAGACCTGATATATTGTTTGGGCACTGCGGCTGAGATTCACTGGGGAGCATCTTGAGGGCCAATGCTTATTGTGGCAAAAAAAAAAAAAGTGTAAACCCATTTATGTGATTTATAATCATCTTCCAACTCCGATATGATTTCCTGAAGGAATAGCAAATAAGAAAGCTGAGGCCATATTCTCTTTCTCGTGTGGCAGATAGGTTTCACGCAATTTTTACCTACAAATAACTATTGGGTGTGCAGAGGAATTCTTGTGCCCGTGTGTAATATTTGTTTTTATCGTAGTAGTTGTAAGTTAGTTTGTCGGAAACACTGGGGAATTTAGAGGAACAAAATGGAGCGCTAAGAATTTCAAGCAGTTACAATATTGTTTTCATACGGAGAGAGAAATTTATTCTAGTTTCCCCGACAGTGTGATGAAATGTTTTGCATTCGCTGCTGCATGAATTAAATCCTGTCTGCGACTACGATTACAGTGGCCTGCATTTGCTTGGGGAGGGGGGCGAGGGGGGGGGGGGCATTTTGCCCTATGTCCTTTTTGAACTAAAACGATTAAATTTGCTCTTTGGCTGCAGGACTCTGAATGTTTCAGTTGCTCTGTTCCCCTGTGCACTCCTGCACCATGAAACCAAGCGGTGTCAAGAGCGCCTTTGATCAAATAATGGCTGTGAAATTAGTTGGTAACATATGCAAATGTTAATATACGAATTTGTCGATGTTCTAAGCAGCAGCCTTGAGGTACCGCTGCATACAGTCAATACAGTTGGCATTCATGAACTGGATGTTTCATTGGGAACAAAAAGAAAAAATCCTTTTAGTGTTGAGCTTCAACGACAGTGGCATAATATAAAAATTGGTGATAATGGAAATTCACTTTAAGATGAATATTTAGTCGAGAAAAATATTCAAAATAACTAAATCCCTCTATACTATGTTAGGTAATGTTCTTTTTAATATCTGTTTCTCTTAGAACCAGACAGTGGAGTTATTTTGTGATGATTGTGCTGTCATGAGTGCATGCATCTTTTGTCAAACCGAGTTTCTTCTCCCAGGGAAAAGTGAATTATTGCTGTATGAATTCCGTTTTAAGTTTAAGAGTGACCCTCTTGGTTTTAAGCATCGATTGCATTAGAGCAGGACCTACAATTGTAAGTGTCCTCTTACATCCTGCTCAATACATTGGCTGATCATCAGCACTGTCTTATATTCACATCTGATTTAAATATGGGTGATCATCTGCACTTTATTATACATATTTTATATATATAAAACTTCTTCTCCTCTCTTTGCATGAAGAGGTCTGGATTGGATAATGGAGCCATTAGGAGCGATTCTTCTGCAGGGTCGGGACTTGCTGTGATGGAGGCGTGAAGCCTGATCCATCTGATCTCTCTAATCATCACATCCCCATGCAGCTCCAACTTAAGGGAACATGCAATCAGCGGAGCTGCTACGGCGCTGGGACTTCGGTCACCACCCGGCACTCGAGCGAAAAGAGGATATTTTGTTATTCGATCTCTGGTGGGAGAGCTGAACGGTCTGCAGACCAGGATTACACCAAAATCGTGTGTATTAATAGCAAGTTATAAGCTCAGTACGGTGGGCTGCTGGTGATTATAATGATATGTGTTGATAAACAAAAGAAAGGTGATTAACATGGGGGGGGTAAAACCGACGACGTGGCTGCAGATTAATTGCGTCTCACTTCCCCAGACTGTGCCAAATATTACCGTATGATAGTTTATGATTTATGTACCTAGTCTGCTCCCAGTCTGCTCTCTACGCTGTATGTTACGAGTGGGCTATAAGAGATAGCAGATATATCTGTAAAGCATCATAAATGATGATGCTGCCACTGGAGGAAAGTCTCACCCTTTTTACTCAGAATGCAAATTCTATGCAAGCTGCTGTGATTAAACAAGTCATTGTTTAATAACTGAGATCTCAAATACATGAAAGTTTTGTGTAATGTTCCACAGTATATCACAAGTATAGCAGATGTTAAGGCTTTACGAATACGTGGGCAGTGTGTGTCCTCGTGTATAGTACGGTGAACCAAAGCCGAGTCAGTGAATTGGTTTGTAAATGGCTGCTAGATATTTGTTGAATTGCTTTGAAGAAGTGTTACATTTTCGATTGATTAAGAACTATGTTACCAATAGAGCGATAAAACATCGCTATCGATTCAGGCAAGTTAAACGTTTGCTATGTTCAGTCTGAACATTTTCATTATCCAATCTCCAAACATTGTCAATGAGGATTCCATTCTTACAAATTCCTTTCTGTAAAATTGCAACCAGGGATCCAAATTTGTGGTGTGACTGGTCATCTCTTAATTTCTTCTTCTTGCTCGCCCCCGGGCCGTAAGTAAGTCCCACTGCTGTCCATCCTGTGGGACAAGAGAGGCTCGACGACAGTTCCGTGACCCAATTTTTGCCTCACTTTGACCCCATTGTGAAATACTGAGTGAGAATGAGAGCTTAAAACGCTCAGCGGGGGCTCAAATTTTGTAAGCAGACAAAAACAGAGAAAGAGATGGAGAATAATGAGAAAGAGGGAGACGGGAGCCTCACGCTCCAGCCCTCGTCCCAGGAATAGGCATTAGATTGCCGATGGGACACTTTGACCAGGCTGCTGATAAGCCGTACTGTCTGCTTTTTGATTTAGAGTGTGAGGCTATCTAATGTAATAAGACAAAATAATGGAAATGCCAGGACGGAGATAGTTGGCTTTAATGGTCTGTGGGGTGCTTGTTCTGGCATGACTTTGGGCCACCAGCACCTTAGAGGATGTGGTCAGTGCTTTCAACTGCTTACATTGATTTTGATCGAGTATCTCTGCCTCGCAGCTTAAGGGTAAGTGTGAAAAACGCCAATTCGGCACCGGCTGCAAAACAGTGCAGTTCATTTTTGTCTGCTTGTTGAAATATACGAGGGGATTTGTTACTGTGATGTTTTCAGAAAGGTAAACTGGTAACTTTAGCTGCAGCCATTTGCAAACACTGGTTGAATACTTTTGATATTGATATTATTTTATGTTTGCTTGTAATGAGTTGATGAAATCCTGGTACAAAAGTGAAAACTCAGTACGAAAAAATGTTTGCCATTATGGTGATATTTAATTTGAACGTTTATCCCAAAATGACACGCTACGAAACCTTGTGGCTGATTGCAGTCGTAATGAATAGACATTATGCAGCGTGTTGCATCTGTTTTTTATTGTGACTTTTTATTTTCCTTCTCCAGCCGGGATCACAGAAACAAACGTTCCCACCCTACTGTGAAAACACCTCAAGCATTTCAGCAATGACTTTAACACATTACAGTCACACGCGGCGTCGTTAGAGATGTGATGCCGCTCCGACTACCGGTTGAATTTAGATTTGTCCCGACTGCTGCCATAAAAATAAATAACGATAAGCCATTTACAGAAGAATGAACATGAGGTTGCTGTCTAGGACCTTCTTTTATAGTGTAGATACAAGTCATCATCATTGTGGACAACAAGGTGAACAAACAAAATATTTGTTTTATTTCATCTCAGGTATAACACTATTTATAAAAAAGCAAAACATTATGATTTCCTCCAGTCAAATTCCAATCAAAGTATCTGCTCTCCTTTTCATTTTCAAATAGGGGCCTAAAAAAAGTGCTATTTGCAATTATTGGGTTGAATGCACATGAATCACTGACCAAACAAGTTGTTTTGTTAGCATTCATGCAACTGTCTCCTTTTCGACCACTCGCTCGTCTATTATTCTGGCTGTAGTTCCTATTGTCTCTTTCCATCCCAGAGTCTCTATTTCCCTCCATTAAAAAAAATTGCCCAATGTCATTATGTCAACATATAACATTATGTTGTAAAATGTTTTATTCTCTGGTGGATAGAGAGGGGAGACTTGAACAGGGCCTTATTCCCAGCACATGAAGAGAACGGGCAAAATGTTTCAATAAAACTGATTGTGGAACACGGTTCTCATCAGGAAGGAGGGCGCAGATGCAAAATAACACGACAACACAAAAGCGATTATGTGTTTGTGTTATCGCGAGCCATGTTCACTGCACACAGTAATTGTATTTTATAATTTTGGGCCCACGGCGCAGCTCATAATTCCCCTTTCCAATGACGGCTTATGTTTCCTAGCGGGGAAACCTCGAAACACCCCACCGACAACACTTTGGATCGGAGCAATTCTGCCCGCTGAGACGATCGTGATAAACCCGCTGCACACCAGGCACGCACTCACTCACTGCCGCACACTCTCGTTCACTCACTCACTCGCTCACTCTCTCAGCCAGACATGGGTGGCAGCCAAACAGTGCTATTTGCTGGAGCAGGACTGGCACTTCTCCAGACCGTGAGGGTAGCAGGCTTGGCAACGCAGATCACTGATGGACTCGTTGAAGCGGTTCGCCAGCATGGACAGCTTGCTGCCGTGACACAGAGAGCAGGGAGCGCAGCCCGAGCCGCGACAATGCCGGCAGCTGTCGGCCTCCTGGAGACGGAAGAAACACATTAGAGGGGGAGAAGGGGAGGGGAGCGAGGCGGTGGAGCCGAGGCCGTTGTAATAGGCGAAGGGTAAGCGAATTGGGGGGGTGGTGGTTAGAAAGGGTGAGGAAGACTGAAAAGGGGAGTTGCTTTAGTTGATGTCTCTATATAATCTGTGTGGCACAATCATCAACATTTAGATTCAAGTGCAATTTTACCAAAAAAAAGCCCCTTCAGTCAGTTCATAAACACCAACCAATATCTGCCATTTGCTAACTGCAAGGCAAATACTAAACAACCTTAACAACATGAAGGATCTTCCCCATTTTACGTATAATAAAATGAACATGATACAGTGAGTAGCTGTGTCATTTATACAACCAGCTTGTCATTCAATCAAATATTTAATAAAAAGCAGCTGCCTGTGGATAATAGATGACACGAAGCAGGATGCAAACAGAAGACGTAAATCTGAGTAAATGGATTTTCCTTTGGTCGCAATCTGCTATGTCACCACTAGAGGCCTAAATACACTATCACACTGCTCAGGTATTTAAGGGTGGCAAAGTATATGTCATTCACATTTGACTTTCAGAAAGAAATAGTAAGACTGCTTAGTAATATAGCCGGGGTAGACAGGAAAATGGCCCCACGAATTTATAGAAATCCTCAAATCTAACAGTGATTTTTGAAAAAGTAAAAAAAAAAGGTGTGGAATGTAAGCATGGTAATATTGGCAGGTGGTTTGTATCAGATAATCAATAACCATTGTTGCAGTAATAATCAACCCAACGCTTGTGGTTGGCAAGCACTACAACCATTTCTTTCACTAAAGACTTTTATGGCGCGTTTCCACCGAGTGGTACGATACGGGTCGGGTTGGTACCCTTTTATTTGTGTCTCCACTGCCAAAAGTTGAGAATGGTACCAAAAATCCGAACTGTACCGTACCACTTTTTGGGTACCCTTCCGTTGGGGTACCTGGCACAGTTGTTTGGTACTAAAGGGTGGAGCTAGACTCACTGCAGAACGTTGATTGGTTGAAAGAGTGTCGTCATTTGCACGTGGCGCAAGGGGAAAGACAACACACAAGGCTTGCAGCATGTAGCCTTTGCTCAAACAAAGATTGTCGTCTCCTTGTGACAAACAGCCACATATCGAGAAGCAAGAACAGGATCGGCTGTATGTCCTCCATTGTTGTTTGCGGTTAGCTTTCAGTTTTCGCGCGATCGAATGACGTCAATCTACTTTCCGTCACATACCACGCCTATCAAGTGACGTTATCACTACTTTCTGGAATACACCACGCCTATCAAGTGAGGGTACTGTTGGCATTGGAAACGCTCGCCAAATCATGGTTAACAGACCCAACCCGTACCGACCCGACCCGTACCATACCGCTCGGTGGAAACGCGCCATTAGGGAATCTAATTAGTTAAAACAGCATGCACTAAGCATTTAGTGATATTCATCATCATCATCATTAGCTCATTAGCATTAGCATTGCACAGGGATTTTGGCATTGTAGTGATGGCGAAATCTAAGCCGAGATTTAGTAAACTGTCCAAATTGAAGGTACATGTGGATAAATACAGACAAAGACAGAGACAGAGAAACTTTAAGCACCTTTGGATCAGGGCAATAAAGACAAAGACGATACAGAAAATAGCTTAACATAAAAAGCTGTGAAATGGCCGAATGATGAAGAAAAGAAGGTGAGAGTGAACTTTTGCTTCTACAGAGGCAGAGAAGATGAGAAAATAACGAGATTGGTGAGAAAACAATGGAGGGAGTGAGGTGAGGAGAGCAGTAATCAGCCGAGGCGGTGAGAGGGCCGGGGGAATAACAGTCAGCCGGCTACCTCTTTACACGCTGCCGAGCGGCAGGCAAATGCTGCAAGGGCAGTGTGCGAAAGTGTGGACTCATCAGAATGTGTTCACAGTTGACAGATAACACCGAGGACAACGAGGCGGTCGTCGCAGCGCGAGAGCGGGAAAAGGGAAAGCGGTGGGAGGAAAGATTTGGGTGGAAAAGGAGGAGATTGTGGGACGAGAACTCCTGTCAGAGCGACATAGGCTGCACAGAAAATCTCGCGGTCGCAATCACAGATAAAGTGAAGAAAGGGTGGCTGGTGCAGAGACAGGGTGACAGAGGGACATGAGTGCATCCGGAGACGGAACACCGTGATGAAGACCCTACCACGCCGCTGAGAATATTAGGCCCAAGGACCATTACCTTGGTCTCTATGTGGCTGATCTGTTTCCCCTCCTTCTCCTCCACATCCAGGGTAAGAAGAGCTTTAGCCCTCCTCCGGCTCCCCCTCTCCCTGGCCTTAGGGTATCCCTCCATGTCCACGGGGGGCAGCGTGTGCCGCGACGCTTCGGGTGTCCTCTGTGGCGCTCTGATGATGCGCAGGTTACTGGTGTAGATGATTATCTTGCCAAAGTCCAACACTGGGGACTGGTGAAAACCGAACCGTCGAGTACATCATGTATATAATCTTAATTTTTTAAGACAATCGTACATTTTTAAAACTCTTTTAAAAGGTTTACATTTCAATGCAATGCAAGGATGCAGAATGGGATGACCATGAAGTCACTTAGTTTAAGTATGTTTTTTCTTTATGGAAAGCAAAACACTGCAATGCCGCTGAGCTCCATTGACACGGTGAAAAGTCAGAGGCTTAAAATATGTCAAATTCAGAATGGGGACCACTTTCAATGCCCTTAAAGGACCTAATCCAGATTAGAGCAGGTGATGTATCTGACCTCCGACTTCGCACTAATGAAGCAACTGGCACAGCAGCTCAGCAAGGCGTTTTACTTACTTTACCTTACAATTTTGTGTTTCTTTAAGATACAAATGAATTAAACTGTGGTCATGATTAACATGTTAACTCACATTGAACAGAATCACGTAATGATGAATTCAGACCATGAAGGTGTCTCAGTAATTGACCTTCACTCAACCTTGCTGGTGATGAATCTAATCTAAACTGATCTTGATAAAGGTATTTTTTACTTTTAACCAAACCCAGACAGCATTATTGCTTACTTTAGCATCTCCTTGTGCTTCTTCAGTCTGGCCTGCAGCCGGCTCGTAGCTTCCCACTCCTCTGTACACGTTTATCCGCTGGGCAATGAGCCCCTTTGGAGGATACACAACTGGGAACAGGACGAAACATGTTGTCATGTTATAACTTGTACTCAAAATGCCTTAGCATAGCATCCTAGCCTTACCGAATCCTCCCTCCTAATAACATTCAACGACCTCATATCTTTGAGTAAGTTGTGAATCGTCAATGGAAATATGAATATAAAGATGTCAAAAATGCATACTAAAACTTTTGGACCCAGTTGCTAGGCAACCTGTGGGGACTCCAGGACGTTACTGGTCCTATTCAAGAAATGGTTATTGACACATTGTCAAAACGACTCAATATGATTATTGAACTGCAGTTAGATATCTCAATTCCCTTTGTTTATTTAGTTTTCTTGGGAAGGTAGTTTTCCTCTGTTTTCAGTCTGTGTGTTAAACTCTCCGTGGCTTCATTTTCATGAGGGTCCTATTGATCTTCTCATTAAACTCTCTGCACCAAAGCAGACTATTTAGCAGACAATTATTTAACCTGAATGTCTAATACATCTATTAACTGAACACTATGCACTAATTGTAATACTGTTTTGAATAAGTGCATTCTCGCTACACTAGACACTTCATTTCATCCTTGAAATTATTAGCTTAAGACACAGTTTGATTGACCTCCTATGGTTCATGCTGCTATAATATCTGAGATATTAACTGAAAAAATTGAAATCTGTTAGAACATTTGCTCTCATTCTATCTTTCTTTGGTTTCAGAACAGTGTGTTATTCATCACCAATAAAACAAGCAATTGCAAATCACAATATGATCGCTTCACATGGGTGGGCTCTCAGGCCTGTAATTGTGTAGTTTGAGATGTTTCCCATCATCATCATCACATAGATAGCTGCAACACTTTGTATTCTAGATGTCTGTAGGCATACTGGCAATTTTACTGTGCACAAACCATTTGAAAACACGCTGTAGAGCAAAGTCTCAATCATACACAGCCATCAAATTATTATAAAAGCTAAAATATGCCAGAACAATTTCATGGACAATCCCCCAAAGGATAGCCGGGAGTACCACACATAAATGTAATGTACACATCTCCATGGTTACAGGCTTACAACCCACACAAATAAACCTCAGTGCAGTCATGCATAAGTAAGAAAACAGTAGTACTGTGTAACACAAGGAAATCAACCCACCCGGTTGGTCCCCGTGGGGCTCCTGAAACCCACAGAGCTGCTCCACCTCCAAGTGGCTGGGAGGGATCTTTCGGTGAACGAAGCTGTGAGGGTATTTCTCCTCCGGACTCTCCAGCTCCTGACCGTCCTCATACACGTGCTTCAGCACCCGGCCGCTGTAGGACGACGCCAGCTTGAACCTCACCTGTGGTTTTTGAGTGCAGTGCAACATGTTTCCACAAGGTTTAGCGTGGCGTAAAGATGCAGTGGCATGCTGTTAAGTTACTTTATTTGCAGAGCTTGCCAGCAAACAAAAGAAGATTTAAATGTAGAGATACAAAATAGAATGTAGAATGTTTCCCTGTTTTTAGCGAACAAGCTAATATCCTGCTATATTACGTTTGCAGGTGCAATTAGAAGCTGAGAACCATCTTCAAGCGGACCACCTTCAGCAATAGTTGTGTACCATAAAGCCACATGCCTCTCACATTAAAGCATAGCTGAAAGCTCGCCGATGACCTCAATATGTCTTTCATCAACAGTGTATTAAATAAAGTACTTCAAAACCCTTGTATTTCAAAGAATGTTGTCCTATAAATAACTCACCTTTCTGGGCTTGGTGCCTTCATAGCGTTGATTGAGTTTTCTCTGGAGTTCCTCCATGGTGGTTGGCTGAGGAGGGGACGTGGAGAACCCGTCAGTCCATCCGCCGACTTTCTTACCTCGGGCAAATTGACATCAGCTGGACACCTCGGACCCCGGGTGCGATTAACGAACGTGCAGATGAAAGAATTGGTTCATAGACAGCTTGATCGAAGCGCTGGGCACAAGAGCGCAACCGAAGAGCTGCGTGTGAGGAGTGGGTGGACGTGGAGATGAGATAAAGCTCTCTCTCCGTTTGAGTTTGGAAATACCTGCTGTTTCAAGGGAGCACCTTTTTTAGCTCCTTTGTGCTAAATTATTCAAAGCTGGATCGTGTATACAAAAGGAGGGTTGAGAAACCAGAAGCCCCGGCATCAAATAATTATGATTACCAGAATAGAAGGTAGTTTGAACTGTGTGTGTGTGTGTGTGTGTGTGTGTGTGTGTGTGTGTGTGTGTGTGTGTGTGTGAAATGTGTGTGTGTGTGTGTGTGTGTGTGTGAGAATGGATGAGAGAGGGGAGTGTCTGTTTTTTATTGTATTATATAAAATATCTGAGGTTGCGCCGCAGCGGGAGCGGTGCGGCACAACGAAGTTATGATTGCATCCATTAAAAGTTGTATCACATTAACACCTTGCTCTGAAGGTATTTCTTTGATTTGTTTACTGCATGTTTCTGTAGTGGATGTGTTTCTACCAGGAGAGTAAGTTAGCATGAAAAAAATTTTCAGGTTCCAAAGCATTACTTTATAAATCAGTCAGTTCTAAATTGGCATATTTAAAAGTCTAATCTAAATAAGCATCTAAGCAGGTGAAACTGAGCATTTTAGTTTTTTCACTGAGAATCACTGCAAAATTGATAGTGCAGATGACGCTAATGGTGCTCATATAATCTAATGTATTCACGTATCAAACAGACTTGTCACAAGTCTGTTTGATACGTGAATACAAGTACAACTCCTTTATACAACACAGACAAACATGAGGAGGTTTCCTTATTCCAGGCATTAAGCAGAGGTGAGATCTACCTAAACCTAAAGGTTATTCCCAGAATATTCTCCCCCTGTTTCTCAGAAAATATTTGTGTGAAAAGTATCACAGCTAATATTTTTGCGATGCTTCCCTTTAAAATCAGTGCTTTGTGAGAATAATAAATGTGAATAGATGGATAGAAAGAGTACATAGCACTTTGAATTAGAAAGAAATCCAGTTTAATCTATTATTTCAATTTAACGACATCGTTGGAAGCATAAGCGGTTTTCCCCTCCAATATTACATTGTAATTACTCGAACTGATGAGTCGTACAATTAGTTTATGTTTTTTCTGTTTAGTTTGATGGCTTCAATTATTTGGAAAATTGGGCGACCCTATTTTGTGTTTCACTTTAAATTATTCACTACTACTAGTGTGACTAATAGGACGGGTTACCCGTGCATTAGACACTGTGTAAAGACTCCCACTCACACCATTCCATTGCTGCAGCCCGTGAGAACTTTCAGACTTAAAATAATGTGTGAAAAATCTATTCAAATTGTGAAATTTCTGTCAATTATTAAAATATTTTCCCGGCAAACAAATTTGTTATACTATGATTTAATAAAACCTAAGGACAGAGGCCGTTCCTGTTCATATTTTAGTAATTTTGGTTGTGTATCAGAACTTGTATTACATTCAAATGAGCCATTTGAATGTAATACATTATATTGAAAATGTACATTGAATATCCTGAATCAGGAGGGACTCACTTTGTCATCGCCAGAATTGGCCTTTCTGACTCCTATTGGCCTCCAATGGTTTGTGTGTGTGTGTGTGTGTGTGTCTGTCTGCTTTGTGCTGGTTAGTGCCTGTGTGAATGTGCACACAGTGCCAAAATCTGTATTTTGAAATTGCTGATGGCAGCGGCCTCTTTTCCTGCAAACAGAACAAACACTAAACTAATAAACGGATGCCATTATCCCCATGAATCTGTCACGACCAAACCTACATTTATTCCTATAGATGACTTGTATTAAGAAGAGAGTGGACGGATGGTTTAAAGAGAGAGAAGACAGAGACACCCCCCCCAGCCCTCCCCCCACTTGTCTCAGAATCATCTTAATCAGATTGCAGAACAAGCAGCTACGGTCACTCGAGCGGGAAATTGTTTTGGGTGCAAGCAATCGTTTAATGTGCCAGGTTCCACGCTCCTTTCGCTTTAAATAATTGCTGGTGTAAATCTGTGTGTGTGTGTGTGTGTGTGTGTGTCACCACATTAGCAGTTCATGTACATTCTATCATCCCCATTATCCTGCGTAAATACACTATGCAACGTGGACTGCAATGCTCAGGTAGAGTACACACACTCTCTGCTGGCTAAAGATTATCACCTAATCCATTTGTAGAGCTCTGACGGTACAAATGGGAACTCAGAAATAATAGTTCTCGTTTCACCGTACTGGTTGATAATACATTTTATACCCCAGGGCGTTAAGACAAGCTCATCAAGCCGCAAATTTAAACCCAAATGGAAGTCAGTTCGACGGTTGCAACCTCTACGAACTCCTAACTGTGAATATGATTGACATATCATTTTAAGGCTCTATCAATAAACCAGGTATGAGCGTGATGAGTGATCCACGTTAGTCGATGTTAATTATAGCAGGTGTTTGGCCCTTATGTTGATTGTTCACCCACAGGGGTCCAAGAGCACCCTGTGGGAGTGTGTGTGCCTCACTGTGTACTGTATGTAATAACAACAAGACTTGGTGTTTCTAATAACTATAAATTGTCATTTGAAACAATGCATACTATTAAGTCAAATTAACTAGGAAAGTCATTTTAACATTTCTGAGTTGAAAGTACTACTTTGGACAAGTGAACAGAATTCACGCTAATAAGTTGTGTTACTTATAAACTGATGTTGCTAAGTTGAATAAACATGTACTATCAGTGATGTTAACTTACAAAGAGCAATCCATAGCTAAATTAAACAAAAAATGATGAGTTGTACCAAATTGTAAATCCAATTTGACTCTACTCAAAAGTGTAAGGCCGCAATTGAACTTGTGTTCTTGAGTTGAACCCCCTTGATTTTGTTTTTAACTTCTTCTCTGTAGAAGTAAATTTTAAAAAAGGAAAGGGAAATGCTCACTTAAACCTACTCATTATTTTTGCACAGCAATTTATGACTGCAAGGGGCCAAATTCAGACTTCTTCATTTAAGCAGAAACATTTTTAAAACCACACAAGGGCAAAGATCGTTCCATAACACTGGTTTGAATTTCTTCGTGGCGGCCATTAAACTGCAGTCACACGGGACCCGGATTTTGGGGTAAAAAGAGGAATTACCAAGCTATGCAAAAGGTTTCTAACAAACTATCCCCTCAGGTCAGCAGGCCTTGGCAAGGACATAACGATCACCTGTTGTTTAGTAATTTCAAATTGAAACCACCATTATTCTGCACCTTCTCTCCCTCTCTCCCTCTCTCTCTCTCTCCCTCTGTCTGTCGCAGCCCATTCTAGCACCAAACAGATTGTATTTCTTGCTCTGCCCTCAGGTGCCTGACAGGCAGGAGGGGGGAGTAAGGGGGGAGGTAGACAGAGACAGAGGGAGGGCAAAAGTGAAAGGCTGGAAATTAGGGATGAGTGAGACTACGAGAGGGAACCAGTGAGCGATGATTGAGGAGGCGTGAAGCCACAGATGAATGTGAAAGACCATATTAGTATTAGATCATATCTGAAGATACTAATGTCACATCCTCTCTAAAGGTCACAGACGAAAAAGAGAAACGATTGGCAGCTCAGACAAAGGCTGAGGTCCATCTTACTCGTAAGTGTCTTTCTCACTGTAGTTTTATTACCTCTGTTTCAGCAATAACCAAATGGAATATAATTATCCAGATGTTCTTTATAGACAGAGCCCAAGTTACAAGCTGTTCTTTTGGGGTTGATACAAGGTACTGAGGATCTCAACTATGAGAGATTTTTCGGGTAGTTATTTTTTCCTCCCCAGGGGGGAGGGGTGTTTGCCTGCAGCCTCTTTTTTATTGCCAATTTAGTTGTACAATTAATTTTTTTTAAACCATTTTTACAAATTTAACAATGTAAAAAATAATTGCTGGCACATTTAAAGTTGCAGACCTGCTTCCCCAAACACATACACAAAAAAGGAGAGTAGAGTAAATCATGCTTACGTTGACTTAGCAAGTATGATTTTAAAATCAATAAACAATACAAAAAGCTAAACGGAGCTGTATGGCGGGACCTCTGTAAAATGTCGCACGTTCTAAAATCATGCACGTTTTGGTACATTTAGCATGTAAATTCACGCAATAACTTTTCCAAGGATAACGTTTGGCAGTAACACAAAGTTGTTAACTAATATAAATGTTAAATGTAAATATAAATGTTAAATATATATTTAAATGTTGAATGGCATATCTAAATGTTAAATATAAATGTTAAATATAAATGTTAAGTGTAAATGTTAAATGTTAAATGTTAACTCTGCATATCAGACTTGATTAAAAATATTTAGGGTAGTTCACGCCACAGCAAGACAAGCTGGCAAGGGGGGTGGGTGGGGTGCACGGGCACAGATTTATATTTAACATTTAGACCTTGAGGCCACAACTCACTGCCGCGGCTTCAGAAATGGAGGTTTTGAACATACACCACTCTGGTTCAATGTCCCCTACATCCACAGGAATGTGAGAGAAGCTCCGCCGGAGGTGTGAGTTAAAAATCTTTTGGACCGGGGCCTCCTCCAGACGTTCCCAGTTCACCCTCACTACACGCTTGGGTTTACCGGGTCTGTCCCGAGTCTTCCCCCATCCTCTGACCCAGCTCACCACCAGATGTGATCAGTTGACAGGTCTGCCCCTCTCTTTACCCGAGTGTCCAGAACATGCGGCCTTAGATAAGACGATATGGTTACAAAATCGATCATTGATCTTTGGCCTGGGGTGTTCTGGTACCACGTAGACTTTAACTTTAACAAATTTCCCCGCTAATTTACAGTGATATACTGGCAGCTACATTTCACATTTCATAATCACATTTTTGGAAAAATACAAATAATAAAAGTAACATTAAATTATATATAAAAAATGAAATGACTTGCTGGTAATGCGGTTCAACAGAAAGATACAGATATTAAATGTTGAGAGTATGCTCTTAACGTTAGCTGAAGATAGCTGGAAGCGCATGCACGTTTTGACACTTATTGAATTCACGTTTACGGTTTATAATTTTGTATTAACGCTCAGGTCTGGCAACTAACGCTCAGATGTGTTTAGTTTAGCCAGCACACGCTGGGACTTGCACTTACTGTACTTTTGTCTCTGCAATCTTTAAACCTCAAATAACCGCCGCTAATCAATCTCCGCCGCCCTCAC